AGTTGGCGCGGCGGCCTCGCGCTGGCCCCCGCCTGGCGCTGGCCTGGGGGATGTTGGGGGCCCTTTTCTCTGAACCAGGCATCTTTTGTATTTTAGCTCGAGTTTGACGTTAGAATTTCATGAAGAATTTAAATTTCCATCACATACAAAAATAGACAACTTACAATCACACAGTTGTCAGGATTTTGTCACTTGGTCCCTTTCTTTCTCTTTTTGGTTGCTCAGGTGTCTTAAAGCGTACCATGGGTGTCATGAAATTCTCACCCCTGAACTTTGAGTATGTAGCTTAAAAAAATGCAGACTTTTTTTGTATAACTTTGATGTTTATATACCTGGCAAAATTTACAGAAATTTTTCGCTACCACCTAAGCATTTTCAAAATTTCCTCCAGTTGGGTCAGAATGTCACTGTGCGGCTGTCTGGTCCGCATCGGGCCCCAGCACGGGGGTGGGTCATCGCCCCGGCAGTCTCCCCTCCGCTGTGTCTGTCGCTCACCGCCCTGGGCGCTCAGGAAACCGTGTCCCGCCTCTGCGTTTCTGTTACCGGTTCTCCAGGGCCCGCGTCCTTGTGAGCCATGGAGCCTTTTTCCGTTTTGTGTCGATAACCTAAGGTAAACCACATGGTGCCACACCGAGTGACTCCCCCGTGTTACATGATGTAAAATCTTGTTGACGGTGAGGACGTGAGAGCGAGATGTCGATGGGACTGAATCGGTTCCGTCAGGTGAGTCGTGGTGTGCCGAGTCACGGTGATACAAGCCGGGCTGGCGGTGGCCAGGCCTGCGTGCCTGCGCCCAAGGCAGTCGCACCGCTGACCGCTGCGTCCCGGTAGCCCCATTGTCCCTGCTCTGTGCCCGTCTGCCAGTGAGGCGTTCAGCTTTCTGGTGGGGTGCAGGCGCTCACGTCCGTGCATTCCAGTGAAGGCTGTGCTCTCTGGGTCCTGCTGGCTTGTGTGCCTGCGAGCGCTGAATGATGCCAGTCCCTGCACTGTCACGTGGACACCCCTCTGCCGAGGTGCTGCAGTGTAAGGTCCCATAGAAGGCAGGTGTCACCAGCCTTGACTGGGTCAGTGACCAGATCTGGCAGTCATTCTTTGCGAACTCAGGAGCCTGAGGGGTGAACATGTAGGACCTTGGCTTGTTCGTGGTGGAGAGGCACACGTGTGCCGTCTCCACCACGGGCAGATCGACTCAGGAGACCGTGCGTGGCCGCACTCCCGGGCGGTGGCCTCGGAACAGATGCCTACTCTGGCTCAACACTCACCAGTCCATCTGGCTGGCCTGTTCTGGTCGTGGCCGATTTGGGTCCATGGCACATCTCCATCTGCAGGCTCTCGGGGAGCTGGGAGCAGAGTGGGAGGGCGCCTGCCCGTCTCTCGGGAGACCAGGCTGTGTGGCTCAGGCCTCGGCGCCCGGCTGGGCCAGCTGCCCCCTGAGTTCGCCGAGCGCCAGATCTGGATTGTGTTTGCTCTGACCCCGGAGGAGGCCCAGGCAGGAGAAGATCGCTGTCCCAGCTGTCTGCTACTCGGCACCCTGCTCCGGAGCTCCGCGCGTTACCTGCCAAGACGGTGACCGCTGACAACCCCTCCTGGAGGCCAGCAGGTCTCCAAGGACACAGAGCGATGGCTTCTTTCTGCTCCGTGGGCCCGGGGCCTCGGCCGGAAGACTCGAACAGCAGGAGTGGGTCACCAGAGGCTCGCTCCCTCGCACTGCTGGCAGTCCCCGCAGGCGATGTGGGCCCCTTCTGTGCCCTGGGCTGCCCACAGCGTGTGGCTGGGTGGCCCGTGCTGAGGCAGTGTCCTGGCCATAGGCTTCCCAGAGCTCACTCACGCCACAGCCTCGGCCAGGCCGCTCCAGTGGCCCGTCAGTACAAGGCGAGGGGACACAGCCTGCCTCCCAGTCCGCGGGACGTGGGGTGCTGGGCTGTGTGCTGCTCTGGCGGCTTTGGGGAACCGTAGCAGCGGGAGCGTGGTGAGGCGGCCGCGAGGAGGTCGCATACCTCCGGTCCCCTCCTCGGCGGAGGCCAGCTAAGCGCTACGCGGCAAACGGAGAGGGAGTTTGCTTTGCATTTTAGAGTCCCATAAATGGAGATTCTGGGGCTACTTTGTGTGTTAATTGTTTTCCACTTTTAGGAACTAACTCACCTTTTCCTGCCAAGGGAAAAATAAAAAGACAGAGTGAAAAGGAGACCCGTCCACTGTTGACAGGTTCACCCTTTCCCTCCCCACCCCTTTTTGATAGTTAGCTTATGAAATTGGTGTGTGGAAAAGAGTCTAAAATTAGGGGGTGGACGGAGCGCGCTTTGTCCCCAAAGGCCCCTGGGCCGGAGCCGCGCCCTGGCTCTGAGCGCTGGCGCTTGCTGTCAAGTCCCGCGTTGGCGTCAGCGTCGGCGTCAGCGTCGGCGTCGGCGCGCTTCTGCAGGGGACGAGGCACCACTGGCCCAGCTCTCGGGCGGGGCTGCAGCAGGATGCGGCCAGGGGCAGGTCGGGATGTGACGTTGGTCTTATTCTGGCCCGAACCAAAACATCTCCACTCGGAGGGCGAGAAGGCCCTTCTCGTCTGCCGAGTCCGTCGGCCGCTGTGACGTGGCCGCCGCGAGAGGAGTCAGCGGACAGCCCAGTGAGCAGTGCGCTCCCTGCCAGAGAAGGGCTGGCCCGTCCACAGCCCCCGGCTCTGAAACGCGAAGGCAAGGTCACCCTCGCAGTCACGAAGGCAAGTTTGGCAAGTGGGCACTCAGCACAGAGAAAGGTGACTAGAGAGTTTTCTTTTTCTGAATAGCTTGTCAGCATCTTTACAGCTCAGGTAGATAGTATGCGACGGGCGGCACGCACGCACACACGCACGCACGCACACCCCTGAGAAAACGGGTGGCAGGGTAGAAACCCTTTGAGGATGGCATTTTATGTCACCGTTTGTGGCTGTGCTCTTCCAGTCAGGTTCAGGTCAAATTCTTTCTGAGCTAAGACTCATTTCTTTTAAATTTCAGGTGTGTGTAGCAGGTAAAGTGTTAACCTTCCAGACACTTGTGCCCGAAGCAGGGGTCGTGGATAAAATGCACGGCGGGCAGTGATTTGTGGCCAGGGAGGGGGGTGTCTCTGTAACATGGCTGTGAGTTTCGTGGGTTTTGCGGGGCGAGTTCCGAGGACATGGTCGCGCCCCACCGCCAGGGCCAGAAGAGGAGCCTTGGCCGTGGCCTCATCTGGGCGTGTCCCCGGGGCCCGCAGCTCTCAGGCCCAGGGTCAGAGCCCAGAGCAGGCTCTGTGCAGACTCAGCTGTGGGAGGCCCACGTGCCAGGTACTGTCGCCATCTGGCTTTTGTGCGGTTACGCTGACCCCGAGTGTGTGCTGCCCTGCGCAGCCGGCCCCGGGGCGCCAGCCTGCGCCTCTGGGACCGCTGGGGGTGGGCTGGGGGACTCAGCGCCGCGGTGACGGTCAAGCGCCTGGGACTGTTTCGTGCTTCTGGAGGGGACTCGTTGTCTCTAGAAGCCTGTTGTGGAGAGGAGACGTCTTGCTTGCGATCACTTGTCGCGGGGAGCTTGGCGTCCCCGTGAGGGGCGCCGTCCCCCGCACCGCCTGGGGAAGAGGGCGCCTGAGGTGGGGCTCGTGGTCCCGCCTCTGAGAGCAGCTTGGGTGGCTGCGCTCTGCCCTCAGCAACCCTCAGGCCGCCGCCCTGCGCCCTCTGACCGTGCGACCCGAGCAGTGGCCTCTTGCCCCTCACTCACCCTTTCCTGGATCTTGAGGAGGATGGGACTGCTTGCGCCCCAGGTACCTGCGTTGGGTGCGGACAGCAGAGAAGTCTGAGGTGACAGTGCTTCCTGTCCTACCCGCGGCCAGGCTCGGCGCTGGCTCTCTCTGGGCCTTTGGTCCCCGTACACCCAGCGCCCTGCTCATGGGCTGCCCTCCATCCTTGCCTGTGGCCAGGGTGGCCCTGCAGCCCTGCCCGCGCGTCCATGTGGGGAGCAGAGAGGCTGGCCTCACTCTAGAGAGGCCCCGCTCAGTCTCCGCCACGTGCCCCTCCGCGCTCTGCCATCAGCGGGGCTTGGCGGTGTTGGCCTCTGGCCTTGGCACACAGCATGCACGGCCGCCCCCAACCTGCCTGGTTGTGTGCGGGCTGCGCGCCCCAAAGAGTCAGGCCGATCGGGTCCCCTGCAGGCATCACAGGGTTTCCAGGGCCCTTGCTTACCTTTGAGCAGCATCAGGATGACTGTGCAGTGCTCCAGGGTGGCGGGCAGGGGCCTGCGTACCTGGGCAGAGACGCAACTCCATTCCAGAAGGCAGAAGCACTGAGGGAGGAGGCCAAGTGTCCTTGAGGTGGGTCGATGGTCCAGGTGACAGGGCGGGGTACCGCCACTGCTCCTGGGAGCCACAGGGGACGGTGAGGGAAATTAGCAGTGAGTTCAAGGTTCAGTGAGAATGTTCTCAGCACGTGTCGTGTCTTCCGGAGGAAACATTCCAGGCGTTATACGAGTGTCGGGGGAGTTTTGGGGGAGTTAGGCCCGTAGGTTCCGTGGGGGCAGGGCGCATGCCAACCCCTTGCGTCTCCTTGTCCCCCTCCCGCAGAGGCCAGGTGGAGTGCGCTGTGCTCACTTCTCTCGTCGTAGGGCAGCTCCAGGGGGCCTTGTCTGGTTCGCGTCCGCACAGGACACCAGACATCTGGCAGTTCAGGATTTCGTTGATTTGTCTTTATCCATTTCTGTAACTTTTATAGGTCGTTGGACGTTTGAAATAGTTAGCTGGCTTATTGTCAGTACCCGCAGGGCCCAGCAGCTGAGATCCCTAACTGTGCAGGCGGCCTTGTTAAAACCCGGCGCCCAGAATCACAGGCAAAGTAGAGGGTCCCCGGGACGGTTTCCTGACTGCCGTCCCTCCTGGCGGTGGCCGAGCCGTCCCTATGCTGTAGTGAACTCTTGTCCGTCTGTCAGTGTGTCAGGCGGCCAGAGGAGCCGGTGGGAAAGGCTCGGCCGCCCGTGGAGCCGTCCAGGCTGATGGCTGTTTCTTTCCAGCAGGCAGTCCCGGCGAAGGGGGAGGCGAAGCAGGATTGCTGCATGAAAACCGAGCTGCTGCGAGAGGAAGGTAAGGGCCGCGCCTCCCGCCCCCGTGCGGGGTGACCGAAGACCTGCCCCCCGTGTCCTACGCCCCGGCCCCCGGCTGCCTCGTGCTTGCACAGCTGGGATTTCTGTGTCGTTTCTCATCTCTCCCCCTCCCCACACGGACCCACGGGACGCACACAGCAGTTAGAGAAAGAAAAAGCTTATCGGAGGGCAAAAGCCAACCCTTCAGGTGACCAGAGAACTGCTGGACACGATGTCGATGGCAGCGTCATTGACATCACACAGAGCCAACACCACTCAGGTGTCCTTCACCTGCTCACAGATGGGCTGGACACTGAGGAGTGGAGCCACACCCACAGGCCGCGGGCCATGTGACTGTGTTCGTGGGACATCTCGGAGAACATAGAACTGGAACCTTGGGAACACACCCTCCCCGCCCCCCCAGGCCTTCCGTAATGCAGGCTGTGCTGCAGGATGCCGGCTGGCCGTGTCCTTCCTCCCCACTGCCCCTGACCGAAGCCTGTACTCTCCTCTTGGCGGGGGGGCGCCCTGCTGACCACAGCAGCCGCGCTGTCTGCATTCCCTGCCCCAGCCTCGTGGGGAGCCCAGCTCCTCCACGGTCCACAGTCCCTGTTGCCTTTTGTGGGCGTGAAGTGGTCTCACTGGGGTTTTGATCTGCATGTCCCTGATGGCTATTGACGTGGAGCATCTTTTCATGCGCTTGTCAGCCATTTGTGTCTTGTTTGGAAAAATATCATTTCAGATCCTTTGCCTGTTTTTAAAATTGGTTATCGACTTTGTTGTCGAATTGTCAGGATTCTTTATGTATTATATATAGATAGATGTTCTCTCTCAGATACGTGATTTGCCCGTATTTCCTCCCATTCTGTGACTTACCTTTCCACTTTCTTGCTGGTGTCCTGTGAAGTGCAAACATTTTTTAATTTTGATGAAGTCCATTTTGTCTGATTTTTCTTTGGTTTTTGTGCTTTTGATATCATTGCTTAATAGACATCAGAGATTTACGCCTGTGTTTTCTTCTTACAGTATTACAGTTTTAGCTCTTATAGTTAATTTTTATAGGAAATGAGGCAAGGTCCCGCTTCGTTCTTTTGCAAGTGGACACGTGGCTGCCCCAGCACCACTGGTGGAAAGACCCTTCTTTCCCCACTGGACTGCCCTTGCGCTCGGCTGAAATCAGTTGTGCAGGTTTGTCCTGGACTCGGTTCTGGCCACAGATCACATGTCCTCCCTGCTGCGGGACCCTCCCTCTGGTCGTTACTGCTTTGTGCTGCGTTTTGGAATGGGGGGGTGTGAGACCCTCCAACGTCACATTCTTCTTCTGTATTTTGCCTGTTCTGGGGCCCTCAACTTTTTCATGGGAATTTTAGGTCACCTTGTCAGCTCCTGCAAGTCAGCCAGCGGGATTTGCTGTGCACTGTGTGGCATCTGGAGATCAGTTTGGGGAGCGTCGCCATCTCAGCGACACGGTGTCTTCCAGTCTGTAAACACAGGGTGTCTCAGTAACGTTTCATAATTTTCAGTGCACAAGTCTTAGATGCTTTTTTGTTAAATATATTCCTAAGTATTACATTTTTGATGCTATTTCAAATGGAATTATTTTCCTTCATTTGCTCATTGATATTGTGTAGAAAAATACAGTTTGTTTATTGATCTCATATTCTGCAACCTTGTTGAGCTCATTTCTCATTTGTCATAGTTCTTTTGGCTTCCTTAGGCACTTCCCTGTATAAAGTCATGTCATCTACAAGTAGATAATCCCCCTTTATCTGAAGCCTACTTGGCTTAATGTGTGTGTAGTCACACCCCTCCGCTGCTTAGGGTTTGCATGGTAAGTGTTTTTTCTCATGCTTTAAATTTAACCTGTCTGTATTTTAAAACACGTATTTATAGTGGTTTCTTATGGACACCATATAATTGGATATTTCTTTTTTATCTAGTCTGACAGTCTCTGCCGTTTTATTCGAGTGTTGCGAACATTGATTTGTTTGTGTTTAATGGGATCTATTGTCCTTTTTTTTC